ATATCAATAATTATAGATTAATATTAAGATAACTAATAAGTCTAATTAAAATTTAAAGAATTATAAAATAAAAAAAATTAAAATGTATAATCATTTTCCAAAAAAAAACATGAGATGTGAGACGGACAAAAACGACAATGTGGACACGGTAAGTGAGACGGATGGAGTATTACACAATACTAATAGGGTATGTTCGTCTTTTTCACTAAAACCTATTATAGTACTAATATTAAAAAATTTACATGCAAAAAGTAAATGACAACCTTGCACCGAAACGAAGAGAATATATATTTTTCACTGCTCAGTTTAGAAATAAAGTCACCGTTTACTTTTTACATAGAATATAAGAAATAATAATTTTTCATATGTAATGTGTTTGTTTAATATTTTAATTTGAGATTTTTTAAATATAAAATATCTGAAATTGTATTAGTAATATAAAAAGTAATATTTGAAGCTCAGTTATTAATTTTTTTATAAGAAGATAGAAATATTATATATATATATTGTGTCAGTAGAAAAATTATTTGAGTAAACGCACAAAGTAGTGTGTGTTTATAAATAAATATAATACTTTCTCCGTCTCGGTGCAAGGTTGCTATTTGATTTTTGTGTCATTGTACTTGACATTTAAAATATCTTTATATTTGAATAATTTTTTCCACAAATGTGATTGTAGTTGTATTGTAAGAGACTAATAAATATATTTTTATTCTTTTATCTTAATTTGTATTATATATTGATATAATAATTAATATTCAAATATCAACGTGAAAAAAATCAATGACAACCTTCTCGTGGAAAGGAGAAAGTATTGCATTGTATAATTAAAAATAGGGTAAACTGTTTTTTTAGTCCCGTAACTGGACCCCCTTATCATTTTAGTCCCGTAAGTGGAGCCTGTCGCAAACTAATCCCATAAGTGAAAAATTTTCGCTGTTTTAGTCCTTCGGCGCCGAAGACGCCCGCGTGGCTCGCCGGAGGTGACGTGTCCGCCAGATATCCCGCCAGGTCAGCGACACCTGGCGGACACGTGGATTTATTTATTTATTTTAAATTAAATCAAATTAAAAAAATTAAAAATATATAAATAAAATTAAAAATAAATTAAAAATAAGTTTTAAAATAAATTTTAAAAAATAAAAAAATAAATAAAAAAATCCACGTGTCCGCATTTTTATTTATGATGAATAATTCTTACATATAAACTGTTTTTTTTAAGTCTCATAACTGGACCCCTTATCATTTTAGTCTCGTAAGTGGAAGCATGTCGCAAACTAGTCCCATAAGTGAAAAATTTTCGTTGTTATTCTAGTCCCATAAAAGAAATGTATATTTCTTGTGGACAATCAAATAGGAAAAACAAATATATATTTGGTGGATTTAGAGAATATTTTATTTTTCAAAACAAAAATTGTGATGTCTCCAAGGTTATATAGATTAGTATAATTATATAACAAAATATAAAAAAAATAAAAAAAAATTGCTAAAAGATTAAAGCTTTTTTAATTTATTTTTTTTTATTGCGGTAGTTACTATGCTAATTTAAAAAATTAATTATAATAACCGGCATCGTGCGTTATAAATATAAATAACACAGAAAATATTATATAAAAATATATAGTTATATTGTATAAATACACTTCGTGTGATAAATCAATTGTAAATTGTAGTATTATTTTTTACTATAACATGTACGGTCCTTTCGTATCAGATATATATATATATATATAAGGAAAAACAAATGCTTAGTATAATATTTTTAATAAGAAATCTATATATTGGTTTTCTCTTTTAATATTTTATTTTAAAATTAACATTATTTATTATTTTTAATAAAAATATATTAATTTTTTTATCACAAAAAATTACGAAGTATTATTATTTTTTTTTAAAAAAAAATGAATTTAATTAACATTTTATTTTAAATCAATTTTAAATTATAATCAAACATGTATTTTAGTACAACGTGCCTTTCATATATAAAATAACTATATTTTGTTTGGTTGTATTTACTGTAATTTTTTAATTTGAGTTTTGATTAAAAAAAAATAATAATAAAATATAAATAAACTAGTATTTTGATACGATATCTATATAAATATATATATTTAAATGAATTTAATAGCAAAAAATTAGTTGAGAACGGATTATAGAAGAACAAACCATTTTGAGTGCAAAAAAGTTAAAATATAGTCTCTTCGTCCTAATTTAAACCACCAGTTTTACTATTTATGTCGATATCATTCAAATGAATGTGTGTTTGTTTGGGGATTAGATTTTAAATTCACTATTCATTTTATTTTTTCCCATAAAAAATATCAAATCAAACATCTATTTTTTATTTTTTATACTTCTATACTAAAAATCAATTCTACGTTCAAAACATCACATCAACGCCTATTTATATCACATCATACAACTATTCAAATTCAAAATTTGTACTATTCAAATTCCAATTCAAAATCCAAACTCTCAAACAAACACACCCTATTCAGTTGATACTATATATATATATATATTATTTAATTTAATAAAAACATCAAATTAAATTAATTATTTTACTAATACAAGTCCAAACACACCGATGAATGAAATAACAAATAATTGGTGAAAGAATAAACACATCACTTTGTTGTGACTTAAAGTGAAGAAACCACAAGCTTCGAGGAAACATTTTAAATATATAACATTGGTTGAAACACAAAGAAAGAAATAACACAAATCTTAATCTAATGTTTCAAGTAATGTTCAAAATTATTCAGTCCGTTCGATTTTCAATAAAGATATATTGTATCTGTTTCATATACCGTCTAATATATAATTTTTTATACGAAAATTTAAGGTGAATAATATTAAGTAGAATATTTAAAAATGATATAATCTAATAAAAATTAAGTAATACGATAAAAGAGCGAAATATATATATATATATATTGGATAATATATATATATATTGGATGATGTGAGAATATAAAATGTAATTACTTATTTTCTATTTCGAAAATATTGCAGAATATTTGAAACAGATAAAAAGAAAAATATTGTAAAATATATGAAACAGATGAAATACAATATTGTCTAGTAAAATATAACATGGCAGTACTATTTATGTTTTGGGTGACAATTCATTTATATTAGTATTATTAGTTTAATTTTGATTATTCATTCATTTTATTATTGTAATTTTGATTATAGAAATTTAAATACAATCAATACTTAATAACATGTTAACAAATGTATGGTAGGATAATTATTTTCATTAATACATTTTTAATTATTTATTAATTATACTTATCATAAATTCTCGTGTCTACAGTGACCCATACATCCAATGTGGGACGAAGAGAGAGTAATATTTATAGGGACAAAAAATGTATTTATCCAACTTTAATGGTCCTTTTTTTTTTCTTTTTTCTTGTATTTATAATTTTGAACTTTGATGCTAAGTTGAATAGTATAACACTTTGATGTTTCTTTAGCATAATTATTTCAAATTTTACTATTTGGATTATACATTTCTCAAAAAAAAATATATTTTTTTCTCTCACAAAATATTATCTCAAATATTATTTTTATATCAAACTCAAACCAATTTTTTTTTCAAACTTATCGAAAGAAACACACCCTATGTTATATAAAAAATTGAATTTGAATAGTTATTTGATGTAATATAAATAGAGTTTACGTCATGTTTTGAATGAAAAATAATTTTGTATTATAATATATATATAAAAAAAAAGTAATTATTTTATTTGATATTTTTAGGAAAAAATTTTTTTTTGAATAATTAGTGGTAAAACTCACACAAAAGAAATCATTTGAAGCAATATATATATATATATATATCTATATATTTTAATTGTTTACTATAAACCTCAAATCCCCTTTAAAATAACCTAATTTCAATTTATAATACAGTACAAATTACGACCATCTAATTGGATTGACTCCGTTGAGTTGGTCAACTCCACTTTACTTTCTAAAATAACATTTGGTCATTTTTTTAGATTTGTTAAAATATAGGTCAAAATGAACCATATAATTATTATCATTACAGTATTTAAACTAAAATATTTCATATTAGATTTAATACAATTAAACAATATTGGATGAATAGTTGTGAACCAATCGATGATATTTAAAGTTTAGATTTATTTTACGTTTCTTTAGTGTTTTAATTTGATTATTTAGAATAATTTTGTATTCAATATTGATTTTTCTTGAAAAAATATAATATACCTTTTCCATTCAATTTATGAATAAACATATATATATTTGTAAAGAAAAAAACATGAATTATTTAATAAAATAATTATTTTATAATTAAACAATTCAAAATAAAAATATTTTTACTTTTGAAGTATATTATATATTGTCTGGTAGAAATTAGATTAGACAAACAAACCCACATGTATTATTATTTATTTTGAATTATTTATTATTTGAATTTTAATGTTTCAATTGTTTTTTTAACTATTATATAAATATTATGTAGAAAAATACATTACTCCCTCCGTCCCACTTTTGTAGATGTCACTTTTATTTTTTTGAAAAATTATTATATATTTTAATCTCATTTTAAATTTTTTTATTTTATAATTTCTTAAATTTTAATTAAACTAATTAGTTATTTTAATTTTATCTAATACATTCTTAATTTTAATTAATTTTTTTTTTCTAATACATTCTTAATTATCTACTAATTATATTTATCCTAAATTCTTGTGTCTACAGTAACTCGGACACGGTACATGGGAAGGAGGAAGTATAATTTTAATACTGTTAAAAAAACTTATGTATTTGGCCCATTTGACTTTGGATTAGATTGATTAACTTCTAACCCGAAGCATGTTACGGTATTATGGGCTATCAACTAATCCATTTTGACAACTATAATTACAATCAATATTATTTAAATCAAAACTCAAAATAAAAACGAAGACAAACCAAGAAAAATGACCGAATCAAACCCACATATGTACCTGCAACTCAAAAGATACAGTAAATTTCATCTGTATAAATATAATGGAGAGATATGTTCAGTTGCATCAAACTTATGTTGGTTGATGTTCTTGTACAAAATATGAACACCACATAATATTTGCACCAAAAAATCACAAACAAAAGGCATCATGCAATTTGTTGCGAACCAATATTGATATATACCTACCGAACATTGCAAATAATCGCAAAAACAAACAAGAATATACTGTGAGTATGGAGAATTATATTGATGTCTTCCTATTCGATTACCCCGCTGCTGAGAGCAACCGGGATTCGAAATGCAATTCAGATTTCTGTAACCTGCACGGCGTCGAGCAGCCAGTTGGCATTCTAAATTAGATTTCGGGTATGACGACATTCAAATTCTTATCAATGGGAATATAAAAGCTAATTTCAGTTAACAAGGAAAAAAAAAAAAAAAAAAAGATTGATGAGTGAGAGAAGAGTAGCTGAAAAATTGGCATGAGAATGGAGTGATGAGACATTAGAATGCTAGAGAAATCGAGAAGAAATAAAAGCGTACTTCCGGGTAGCAACTCTGCCGGGCAATTGTTTGGTTCCATGCATTCACAGTCACTTTGCATTTACATTCAGTCTGCAATATATCAACAATATACATCAAGAAATCACCAAGAAGCTACAAGAAATACCATGTAAGTAAATAGTCGAGATTGTTAAGTGTAAGGCTAAAAATCTATTCATTATAGAGTAAAAGGGGTACCGAAATGAGTGAGGGTAGAACTTAAAGAGAGGAGATTCTTCATTGCATCGTCATATCTAGAATAGTATGGTAATAGAAAGAAACAATTCTGAATACGCATAATTATGTCAATGAAACCACATTTATTTCTTAGACTTAAACTTGTTATTCCGAATTCTAGATTAATTATCTTCAGCATCTTTGGCTCTTTGCATAAGCCCATGTCCAGCTGCTTATATAAGACGCATCTCTACTTGTACAGAAAGCTACTATAAGGGAAAGATTTGATCCAGAGGAGGTCGAAATAGAACAAAGACTTGATACAAGAAAACTTAATGAATAACAAAAATGCAGATAATTTTCCATAAACTCTGCACACAAACAAATGTTCAGATATGTCTGCATTTTCCCAGTCTAAAAAAATTGAAACTAGTTTGCTAATAAAAGAAGCTAAATAAGGGCATAGATATACATATATGTGTATATATATATATACTACAGACATGCAAAACATAGGCAGCAAAATGCAATGCTCGGTTGCATCGAACAGATATCATCATGTTGCACTATTACCATATAAAAGTCATTGCCCACGATATGTGATCCGTCAATTATAAACTATATTGGTTTGTATGCACGCAAAATCTTCAGTTCAGGCATTCAATTTATGGCAACAAATCACGACTACTTGGAACCATATTAATCACTAACTCCATAGCAAGACATGGATAACAACGAGCTCTAAAGTTCTTTCAAACTAATAACCACAAATGGAAAAGCAAGGCTACTCTTTTCGAAACGCACACCAAATCGATTCTACATCTTCTGTTTCTGTCACACCTCAACAATTCTTCATGCTTGATAATAAACACAGTGTTATGTATATATCAAACTATGGCCTCTACTCTACAACCAAAACTCTTCACAGTTGATTCAAAACTACTTGTCTATTCTAGCCTATGAAATTTTTCTGTGTACAATGCCTAGCTTTTCTGATAGCTCCACAATCTCAAAAGCACAAACTCTGTTTCATGGCTGTAAAAAGGTAATCTGTATTTCAGCTAAATACATTGGGAGTTTTCTTATACTGTATACGTATGAGCAGAGTAGATCAAACTCACTTTACTGATGTATTCGTTAAGGAGACGCAGCAGAGCAAATCATTTCTGAAAATTAATTAACAATTCTCCAGAGTTCTAACGTGGAAAGCATTTTTACCTTCACCGGCAACTGCAAGGAGAAAATTCCGAGTTTGCCGCAGATCTCCGACGCTGCATCGAGCATAACCGCTCCATTCTCCAAGTCCTGAATCAACAAAACCGCATCATTCAAAACCTCCACAGCATCGAGCCGGAGCGTGGAGTCCACGTACGAAGATTCACGCGCTTTGATAAGTCCACCACCGGAGGTAACAAATCCAAGCCTGTTCCCGCAGTACCCAATCGCGACAGTCAAATAATCGTAATCCAAGGAATAAACAGACGGATTCGAAACCTTAACCCGAATTCCCATAGTTAAGTCGATCAAAACTCCAGAGTCAGTCTGAAAACGGAGGCGATCGAGGCTAAGGCGGACGATAGAGACCTCAGAGCTGTACGGCCAGAGAACGTAGCCCGCGGCAACGAGAAATACCAGGAAGAATGCGAAGCAGAACAAGCAGCGCTGACACGACTTACGTAGGAGAATATGGCGGTGGGGAGCAGGGTAGGGAGTTAAAACAACGGCGTATTGAGCGGATTGGGACTCCGAAAGCAGCGGCTGCGACGCCGTCGCATCCGATTGCTTCGAAACCACCATTCTTACAGAGGTACAGACATATCCAATCTACATTTCCACACCTATAAACAAAGAGGGAGACGAAGCCGACGACGAACGTGGTCCCTACCCTGCAGTTCTCCTCCAGCAATTTTCTCCAATACACACTGAAGTCGCTAGCACTTCAAAAACGCGCTTTTTGCTTTGGCTACCGTGAATTGCAGCACTGTAGGAATAGTAACCGGAGAGAATCAAGAAAAGAACCAGATCAACGAAGTCAATCTATCATTGAAGTCGCTACTGTCACACTGTGGGTGTGTAATGTATTAGTATTAGGGCAAAATTGTAGTATATTTTATAACACAATAATTTATAATTAAATTATTATACACACCTCTTCGTTGGGTGGTTGGGGAACGGATCGGTCTATTCGGGTTCAGGTTCGGATCAACTTTAAACGGGTTACAAAATTTTTCACAAAAATTTGGTCTATTTAATTAACATAATATATATACATATTAAAGCAAACATTATTTATGCATAAAATGGATATTCAAGATAGTCAAATTAATAAACACTACATCATAAGTACACAATACAATTTTTTATTTTTTATTTTTTAATTTTATAAAATTAGTCATAAACATTGAATTGTATTGATCAAATTTTAAAAATATATTTAAATTTAAAGACCTTAACCCATTTAATTAAATGGTTAAACGAGTTTTACCTAATTATTAATTAGATCAAAAATTTCAACACAAACCCAACTATTTCATGTCATATTCACATGGGATTATCAAATCGGTTAATTTTTGCTAGGCCTACCTCTCTCTGTCTCTCATATATTCAACATCTTACCTTCTTTTTACTATATTGGCGGACAAATTCATCTGATTTTATATTTATATTAAAAAAAACAAATTACATATATTTTTAAAAAAAAAATTTCCATATTATTAAATTATTTAATTTTGAAATTATTTAAATAATAATAATTTTTGTTTAATAAACAAATTTATTCATATTACTTTAATTTAGAATTTATATATATTATTATTATTCAATTAATATTATTTTTGTTGTGATTGATATTAATATTTCTATTATTATGATTATTTATATTTAATAAAAATATTAGTGATATATAAAAACATATTTAATATAATAAATCTTATTATAACTAATTGTTTTTATCCGAGGCCATCTGGGTCTTAAAAGCCTATTAATCAAGCCGAATAAGACAAAAGCCCAACATATTGGCCCACAAAGGATGATAATTGTATATACAAATAAACAAACGGAATTATGAACGAGAAGTTACTATTTTATTTTATTTTTTTTTAAAACAATATATCAAAATAAACATTTATAATAATAATAAAAGATCTGAAAAATGATAGATCAAAATAAATGTTTATTGTTTGTTTATTATATAATACTCCATTTGTCGCATTGTATTATGTTATTTTTTAAAAAAATATTTTTTATATTTTAATTATATTTAAAATTTTATAAGTTATAATTTTTAAAGTTTTTATTAAAGTAATTAATTATTTTAATTTTAAAATATAATTATTTATATTATATTGTAATTAATTTTTATTATATATTTTTTATTATTTACTAATTATAATATTTTTAAATTATCATGTCTTCAATAATACTGTCATCATATTAAGGATAGAGAGATTATTAAATTTTAATTTAAATTCAAAATATTATATTAATATATATTTTATTATATTAAATAACTGTTTCAGATTAAAATTTTATTATTTAAAATTTACGAACAAGTTTAGTCCTTCCTTTGGACTTTTTTTTTTTTTTTGTTTTAATAACGTAGGAATCTACAGCCGCTACCCGAAAGTGCATGTTGAATAAACTCCGATTGAATTTAATACTCTGCAAACTAGGTCTGACAAACAAATCATAGTAGGCGAACTATGTGTGGCAGGTGATCTGAGCATCAGGGGTTTGATTTATCTTTTTCCATGACTGATTGCAGCAAAATCTACATTTTAGTTCTCAAAATTATTTAAGAATTGTGATATAATAATACTTATCTGTTCCAATATAATAGTCTTTTTTACCATTTTTGTGTTCCAAAACAATAATCTCATTTCTATAAATACTCATTCATCATAAAATTATACCTACATTTTTATTATTATTATACAAATGTCACTACTTTTAACACTAATATACTAACAAGGATAAAAAAAAATTTTACTCATACTTTTTACCAACCGGAGGAAGTATAGTACTCCATCCGTCCCATGTAATACGAGTGTATTACTGTAGATACGAGAATTTAGGTAAAGTATAATTAGTAAGTAATTAAGAAGTGTATTAGTAAAAATAATTATTATTTAGTAAAAATAATTATAGATTAAGATTAAGTTAAGTAAATAGTTTAATTAAAATTAAGAAAATTATAAAATTTAAAATTTAAAATACGATTAAAGAATATAATTATATTTTCAAAAATAGAAAGGACAAGTTATGTGGGACGGACGAAAATAGAAAATAGAGACAAATTACGTGGGACGGGAGAGAATAATATATTAGTAATTATATATTTATATATATATATGTGTGCAATGTTGTGTATGTAAAGTAGTGTAAGCATATGTATATAGATATATAATGAAAAGAAAGAAACATGAGACAAGATTGATTGAACGAGTGGATTTTATTTTCATTCTATATCTTACAATGACTTATAAATTTATTTTTGTAGTAGATACATCAATGAATGCATGATTTTCAATCATGCCACGTCACACGTGCATTTTAATACACATCGTCACATTCGTTCGCAACAAGAATTTATTTTTAGAATAATATCTTTAAACGTATTTAATATTAGTACGTATTAGATTATGTTCAACATTTATTTTTATTAAAAATAATTTTTAAATATTGATTTATGTCATATGAAATAGGTATTTCAGTTTAAAATTTATTTTAAAGAAAATCAAAACATAATATAAATCAAACCCTTAAATTATATATATATATATTTATTTTAATTGTGTATGCCGATATATATTTTATGTGAGAGGTTCGATTTTCATCTAGCATATTTCCCTCCATTATTTACTTAGTTTTTTTTTTTTTTTTTTTTTTTCATTTTTTTATTATGAAATCCTCTCAACTATTTGTAAAATTAGTACTCCATGTCTCCCGCCATATATGATCCCTTTTTCTTTTTTTATATCCTACAGAAGATGATCTCTTTCTATTTTTGGTAATTTTATCAATTTTAAATATACTTAACAAAGATAAATTAATTTAATTAAACTTAAACATCTTATAAGTAGAAGTCACTCAAAATTCCTTTATTTCTATCTCTCTCCTCAATTAACATAATTTTTTTATCTATCTTTAAAACTCTTCATTTTTTATAAAACTAATTTATGGTAATAATAAATAAATAAAAATATTTTTTTATTTATTTATATTATATAAAATTTTATTATCTACAAAATGATATTCATATTAAATATAAAATACCAACAATATTATTCATATAAAAAATAGTAATAAATTAATATCATAACTTATTATTAATAATTTACTAATTTACACTATCTAAAAAACAGTCTCTCTCAAAAAAGGATTCATCCCTCCCTCGCCGGACGGAGGGAGTACAACTTTTTCGCATGACATTCAATTTCAACCGGGTAAACTGTTTATTTAGTCCAATAACTGGACCCCTTATCATTTTAGTTCCATAAGTGGAGCCTGTCGCAAACTAGTCCCATAAGTGAAAAATTTTCATTGTTTTAGTCCTCCGGCGCCGGAGATGCCCGCGTGGCTCGCCAGAGGTGACGTGTCCGCTAGGTGTCGCTGACCTGGTGGACACGTGGATTTTTTATTTTTATTTTTTTCATTTTTTAAAATTTTTTTAAAACTTATTTTTAATTTATTTTAAATTTTATTTGTATTTTTTTTTATTTGGTACAATTAAAAAAAATTAAAAAAAAATTAAAAAAATTAAAAAATAAATAAATAAATCCACGTGTGCGGATCCAATTTTATATAAAAAATACAAAAATTATGTATAAAAAAAATACAAAAAATTATATAAAAAATATAAAAATAATAATATGTGTAATATATTAATATTTTTTAAAAAATAAAAGAAAAAATTTTAAAAAACACAAGGTGTGCCAAAAAAAACTAGCAAAATATTAAGACAGTAGTATATATTCTTAAATTCATAAAGAATATGAATTTATACATACAGTATATCTACCATAGAATACATACCTAGAATGTTAGTATTATACACAGCACATTATCTATTAGATTCCCGATACTGATTAATAGTATTACCTAACGGCTACTTTTCCCTCTGATCGATCCAAGCCGGGCGACAACATCGTCGTAGTCCGGCAACCTCGGATGCACGTGACCACCGCCGACGTGGACATTAGCCTCACACGACACTGACCTCACGTGCGTCGGAGAAGTCTCGGCTGCGCCCGACGATTTATCGGGAGGTAGAGACAATGCCCTGCTCGACTGCCTAGCCTTATCTTTCTCGTCGCTCTCGGACGAGCTCGTTTGATCGAGCAGAGAATCCCGTCCGCGTGTCCTAACCGACTTCACCGCCCGCCGAGCCTTCTCGCATAGCTCATCGCCGCCGTTTCTCGGTTTAGTGTACGGCGGACGGTTCGACCGATACATCAAAGGCTTACGATCATCGTCGCGGCCCTCGTCTTTCGCGTCGGCGAATGCTCCAACAATGTCGACGGAAATGTCCTTCACCGGCGGCAATTCAGCGTCCCGATTGTTAAATTCGTTCGTTTTGTTGAAGAGCTTGTTTTGCAATGGTTTCGGGCTCCAATCGAGGCCCGACTCGGAGGCGATTTCTTCTAAAAGTCGAAGCTTTACGTCTTTTGAAGGCATCTCTGCGTTCGCCTTCTCGGCGAACTTAAAAAAACAAAAAATTAAAAATTAAATAATATTATTTTATCCAATCTAATTTACAAACATACGAAAAAGGAATATAAATATACCTGTTTTTCGACGTAAGGATCTAACGATCTCCCGTACCGTTCGGAGAATAGAGTCCGGAGCTGCCGGAGCTCCGGGAGGTCGGCGAAGCGTGCGGCGGCGTACATGAGGGATGAGACGGCTTCGCGGCAGTCGTTGGGACATTCCCTGTAATGAGAAAATCGATTGATTCGGGAAAATTGTCGAGATGAGGAATGTTCGGACACGGCGGATTACCTCTGTTTGTCGATGGCGGAGAGATTGTCGGAGATGTGTTGGCAATAACGATCAATGAATTCGTAGCAAGAAGATTTTTCGATTTCATGAATGAGTCCTTCCACCTGTCGTCGTTACACGTGTACCAATCACAACCGTGATCCCAATTTTTCGCGGAGATTAAGAAAATCTCAGCCGTCCGAATGGATAAATTTGTAAAATACTAAAAATTGAAACTTTTTTTTTTCTTTTTAAGTTCTTTGTCGATGAAATTAGTCCCTTATGTGCTTTTTTTTTTGTGTGTTTTTTCAAAAGCAGGGGTGTCAAGAACATGGAAAAATGAAATAAACGTGGGAATTTAAAAAAAATAAAAAGAAAAAGAAAAGAATATCGACCCTGTCGTAGGCATTAAGATCGAATCCATTTCTAAGAAGATCGACAATATCGTTCTTGAAATACTTCTGGATGGCATTCTTTCTCTTCTTTATAATCTCAATTCGTGTCCTCGTAACTTTCAGATCCGATTTGCTGCAAATTCAAATCATTACAATTAATTCAATGCCCACAAACATATATATAAATAAATAAATCAATGAAAAGGGACGAATTAAAATCTACCATTTGGAATAGAATCTGCTTTTCAGCAGGCCCTGAAACATCTTCATTTTTGTTTGTTTTCTTGATGTCAGAATTAGGGTTTCTTATAAGAGCTCTGGAGAATGAAGAAGGCAAGAAAGGAAGAAGATTCGAAACCGATCTAAAAAGGGAGAGTGCATCACAAAATTTGGAAAATAGGAAATCGAATCTGGAGGGTTTATATATATATGTTAAATAAATAAGTTTAAAAAGAGTGGGAGATGGAGTGTTGGGGTTTTAAATGAGTGGTTATATGAAGGATCGCCATTGATGAATCTAATGGAAGCTTGATATGGGGGAGATCATATGGCCGAACAGTAATTGGTAATGAATGAATTAATGGTTTCCAGTTTGAGGGGTGTACATATATATGTGATGGTGTATATATTGGAGGGGTGGGTGGGGTAGGGTGGGGGGTGGTGGAAGAAGAAGGACAGCAGCTGGCATGGAGTCATGGGGTGAGCAAGGAAGAGGAAAACGTGGGGAGAGGAATCCGCTCATCTTCGCAAACATTCACAATTTTAGGACACTATTTGGAGTCGGACTCCCAGGACCTCATATTACCTATTTGGGGGGATCGGAAGTCCGGAATGTTTTTGGATTTCATCTGTGATTTGATTTTCATTTTTATTTTTTTTGGTTGATTTTAAAATTGGGATTTTAATAATTTATTACATAATGTTATATTTAGATTTTATTATTATGACGTGGGAATCTGCAGCCGCTATTCGAAAATGAGACAAATCATGTATGGCAGGTTACTTGAGATCCGACGCCTACACCACCGGACCATCAATTACGGGACTTTATATTGTATTTGTAATATTAAATAGTTGTTTTTTATACGGTAAAAAAATATTCTCTCCGTCCGACTCTAAAATCTCATTTATTTTATGCGTCTTTATATTTATTATTAAAAATATTTTTATATTTGTATAAATTTTTGCACAACTATCATTATAATAGTATTATACGACACTAACTAATAGAAGTATTTTTGTCATTTTATCTTGATTTAACTACATTTTCATATAATAATTAATATTCAAATATCAATATCCAAAAAATAAATAAAATTCTTAAAACCGGATGGAAGTAATAATAAAATTGCAAATACAAGTAAACACACATTCTCTGTAAATATAGTTTAATTTAATGAACATATATTTGTTATTATATTTTTAATTTTCTCCTTAATAAAAATATATGTGCATTTATATATGTTTAAAATTCTCTACTTGAAAAAAAAAATAAAAATTATGTTCATTATGTCTAGATATATATTTTTTTTATATTATTTTGAAATATATTTAAGTGCAAAATAATATTTTATTCGTCCCCTATCAAAATAAAAAAATAAATAATTTGTTAAGGAATAAAGAGAGTATTTAATATTAACGTATACAGTTTAAATCATTTAAAATATAAATTTTTTAATTTTTTAATAAATATATATCATAATACAACTTATAATCAAACAATATCTCATTACATAATAATAAATCAATTATTCATCCACTAACCCTAACTTGCAACCAATCACACCATATATTATTTTGGGGTGTGGAAATGATTTTGGAGATGTTCAAAAATATTTTGTATTTTATTTTGGTTTTTTTTTTTTTTTTTTTTTGTTATGATTTGAGTTTGAAAGAAAAAATAAATAAAAAATAAATATTTTTGTTTGTTTTGAAGGTAAAGGGTTAGGTGCTGATATATAACATATATAGAAAAAGCATATATTTTTATTATACATAATATATCTTGTGTTAATAAAGACATAGACATATGTTGTATAAAAGTATGTGATTTGCTTAAATCAATTATTTTACATGTGTTATGTAAAAATATACGATATGATATTATTTTATGTATTGTATTTGTATTATATAAATATAAATAATGTGCTATTAATAGTAATATTGTGTATTGTTTATTAGTACATTTGGTGCTTTTCAAAACAATGTTGAATTTAATTAAGCAATGCAACTGTTTTGAAGATGTTCAAAAGTATTTTTTTATATTTTTATTTTGATTTTATTTGATTTTGGTTACCATATTTTTATAAAGAAAAAGAAAAAAATTCTGACATGAACATTTTTTTCTAAAAAATATACTACAGTATCAAATGATGTTAAGGATCCCATTAATTATCTTAATATAAAGTGGCATAAATATATTCCATTGGATTGAATAAAATTATGCAATGTACTACGAATATAATTATTGTGATTACTATATATATATATATATATTTTTTAATAAAATACCATATTAAAAAAATCTACAAAATTGATGAATCTTTACTTTGAAAATTAAATCATGGATTCATAAGATTTAAAAAAAAAAAAAAAAAGGTCAATTTTTATAAAATGTGTTAAATATAATTGTAGACTAAATAGAGGCTATGTTTACTTTTAAGATTTTATATGGTTTTACTATTTAGATTTTTTTATAAAAAAAATATCAAATTAAACATCAATTTTTTATTTATTTTATTACATTAAAATTTAATTTTAGATTCAAAATATCACATCAATATATATTTATATCACATCAAATAATTATTTTAATTCAAAATCAAAATTAAAAATCATAATTCTACAAAATAGACACACCGAGATACTTTAATAAAATATGGAACCACAATAAAAATATTATTTGAAAATTGAAAACATCATAAAATGAAAAATAAAAATGGGAAGAAATCAACGGTGAGGATGTGTTGACAGCTGTTTGCAGTTGTACTACAGCTGTTTATGTCCGTCGTCTATTTCTTCGGCACTAACCAATGGGATATCGCCACGTGGATTTACTTATTTTTGTCCTGATATTTAGATGCAATCATTAATTTCACAAGTGCCCTCTATATTCTTAAATTTCCGAAGCCGACATTGGAAATAGACTCCAAATAAGATTTTGATACTAAAATATTTTTGGGGTACGTTTGGATATAGAGTTTTATCATAATTTGCAATATTTCCTTTATTATTTAAAAATTCAAATGATTTTGATTTAAAATTATATATAATACTTTCGAACATTTAATTTAAAATACAAATAATTCAGATAAATACATATGGCTTTTTGCAACGTATTTAGATGAATTGATTTTTATTTTTATTTTTTTTGTGATATCGGCAATTATGTTAAAAATATAAAATATATTACTTGAAATTGAATACTCTCGTCCATTGCAAGATTGTCATTTTTTATTTTCGTTAGTCCCGAACAAAATTACCATTTTTTATTTAATAATTGTACTATCTATTTAACATAATAAATACTCTTTCCACCGTTTGTTCAGTGTTAGTGTTCTTGTTTGACTTTTTATTTATTTTTAATAATTAAGGTATAAAAAATTGTATTATAAAATATAAAATATAATATTTATATTGAAGGTTGATTTTTGTAATATAATAGAATATATACATTAGAAATCATGTCGAAAACAAAAAAAAAAAAAAAAAAAGCAAACAAACCCGAAATATATAATTATATACTATATGTGCATTTAATTGTATAATTTATTTTTATTTTATTAAACATATATACTTCAATTTTATGTGGATAAATAGTGAGATTATGTTTTATAGTACAACTTACATTTTTTTTTTTAAATTAATAGCATTAAATTTCATTATTAGTTGGGCTTGTGTTTAGGTTTAGGTTTAGGTTTAGGTAGAATAATCATTTGGGTTTGTTTACTTGTTTTTCTTTTACAAGTTTATTACCATTATATTTTGATTTTTTAAATACTACAATAAATTAATATTTTCAAAATACAATAATTCTAAAATTAATATTATCTTGGTAAGAAATAGATTATGTTATTTTAAGATTTTAAAAAATTGCAACTCTTCTACTAATTTCTAATTCCGCCACAGCATATAGATATATAGTTCAATTCCATATAATTATGCAACTATTGCATGGTTCTCTATAAAAATATAGTCATATTTTATATATTTTACATTATAAAATAGTATTATATTTAAATTATTTAAAAAAAATATATCTAAAAAATAACACAACGTCATGGAAAATTTTGAGTTGGATGTGTTGTAATAGTGTAATCGAAAGAGGTCACGTGAGATAGGGTGGCGGGGTCACGTGCCCTACCCGCCACTTAAAGTTAGCGACAGTGTGCGTGCATGCATGCAAAGGGTTCTTGTATCGTATCGTGGGATTAGTTTACCCAACCAAAAGGTGGCAGTGGCACCACATTATTATTATTATTATTTTATTTTGGTATTATTACATCCGTCTTCTGATTATTATATTGTTACACTCCCACATAAAAGTGTTTATTTATTTTTTTTTATTTTTATACGTACCACATAATTTATTTTTTTAAATATAATTATATATTTTAATCACATTTTAAATTTCATAATTCATAAATTTTTTAATTTTAATTAAATTATTTAATTATTTTAATCTTAATATATAATTAATTTTTATTAATACATTTTTTAATTACTTATTAATTATATTTTACCTAAATTTTAATTTCTACAATAACTTAAACACTTTTCCTGAGACGGAGGGAGTATTTAATTGTCAACTAAATTTATATACATATTATTTATAGTAATAAGTAGTAATTATTTATTTATAATTTAATTTTTTACTCATTGTATTATTTTTATAATATTTTCATTTTATTATTATTATTTTTTTATCTATACCATTTTTATACTAAAATGATGTTAATTTTAATCCCCATATCCAAATATCCCAGATTTAGGAAGTATTATTGAGGCTATAAGAAAAAGGTTTGGATCTGATATTGCATTATTTATTAGTAGTTTTTTTTTTTCTAAATTAAATATCTAATTTGTATTTAATATTTTACTAAAAATCTCATCCTGCCTCCCCCCCCCCCCCCCCCCCCCCCCCCCCCCCCCCCCCCCCCCCCCCCCCCCCCCAAAAAAAAAAAAGAAGCAAAAAAACAAGTCCTTATGAATTGTTGTAAAGTGATTAACTAAAACACGTATCACAGTATCACTTATCCCCTTACGCGTAACACTTTTTATATATATATATATATATATAAGTGGGACTGGGAGTGGGGGAATTAATTAAGTAGGTTTAACAAATTCTATAAGTATCATCAATAATTAATTCAATAAGAATAAACTATATATATTTAATTTGAGCATATAAAAAAATATGTTATTATTTTTTTGTAAACTAAGTATATAATAATATTTTTGTAAAAAAAATATATATTATTAATTTATTGTAAACTATATGTTGTTAATTATTAAATAAGAATATAAAATAGATTTTTTATTTTATTTTATTTTATTTTATTTGTATACTATATAATTTTTACATTTTCTAATGAATACATTGATTTCTGTAACTAACTAATCATCACATCAAATTTACTGTTCAAAACTCTAGAAAAAAATCACCAAATAAACACATTAAAATTTTGCATGGAAATTAGGTGGCTTTGTTGCCCTTTTTTCCCTATTACTATTATTTTTACTATTTAATGTTCTAATATTTCTACATAAGTATTATATTTAACATCAAAAACTTCTTTAAATTATTACATTTTTTTATCTAATAAACATTAAAAAAAACACAAAAAAAAAGAAAAGGTAAAGTTTATTTATTTATATATTTTAAATAAAAATATATTATAATTCATTAATTTGATTTTTTAAACATAGAATTAATGTGTATGAAAATGGTCAATTATCTCACTCATTAATGTCCCTCTAACAGTTCTATTTCTTGTGACATTCTAAAATACTTTTAAAAAGCGACACATATATGTAAATTAATACTTTATCCGTCTCAAACACCCTGCAATATTTTCTTTTTTGTTTGTCTCAAACACACTGCAATATTTTCAAATTTAAAAATAATTAATAATATTTATATGCATATATTAATATACACTTCACTTTATCCCATCACATCACTCAAATAAAAAAAACAAATAATCATTTATCTATCCAATCACATCACTTAATTTTCAAATTATCTCAAATTACCGTACTTAATACTTCTCATCTAAATTCCCGCGCCAAACACAAATGTTGCACGGTGTTTGGGACGGAAGTATTATTTTTAAAATAAAATAATATTTCAAATAAAAAATTTTAATTTTAAATTAAAACTGAACAATTTACTAACCAAAATTATAAGTATTGTCACCAAAACTACACTATTTTTTCCCTCAAATAATGGATTATATATTCTATTTAAAATAAACAAGCCCACAGGCAAATTCTATATTTTAATAATTATATGGATATATAGCAATGAATATATATAGGGATTAATAGAAAAAATAAATATCAACAAAATATTTTAAAGTAATATCTAAATTTATAAACTATATATGAGGAATTGTAAAAGTATTTTTAAAAAAAATTTTGTTTTATTTATTTACTTGTCTTTTTGTATTTGTGCGATAAAATATTATATATTCTTAAAAAAAAAAAAAAGACATTGGTAATATGATTATTATTATTAGTTTATAGATTGAAGTTATACATTTAAATGTTTGTTTGATTTTTATTTTATTTTGAATTTCAGTTTAAATAGTATTTTGATAAAAAAAAAATATTATTATACTTTTATTAGCTAATTGCATTATGCATAGTAAAAAAAGGTATTTTTGAGTTATAAAACCAAACAAACTGCTATTTAAGTTTCATATTTTCAAATATAAAGTATAATTTTAAAAAAAATAAAAATATTCAAGTAGAACTGGATTCGATATTAATATATACTTAAAATCCGGATTTTATTAATTAATTTTTAATATTGCTATATAACAAAATGAATAATAAGCAAGCCCAAAATCAAAACACACCCAATAGTCATTTTTATTCCCAATAATTAATTATACAATACCATAACACTGCAAACTCAAACAACACTCCTTTCACGCAAGGTCCCAGGACCTCCACACCCACACAAGCACACAGTCACCGTCAAACCGCGACCGGACCTGAGGTCCCAGGACCTCAAAAGACGAAAACGCAGACAAACTCATCAAGGAGCTTCATGGTCAGTCATGGGAAGATCCGAAAGCACAATCTCTTCAGTCTGATGATTGACATTGATGTCGTCATCGTCATCGTCAATGTTCTTACAGTTAGTGCAGGTTTTAATGAGGTGCTGTTTCTTTTTGGCTTCAGATCTGAACTCTCCATAGAAGTAGGAAATGAATCCCCAGAGGGAGAGGAAGAGAGAGATCCCCTTCTCAGGCTGGAATCTCTCGTGGAAGAAGACGACTGCGAGAATCTCCGTCGCCGGCAGCAGCGCCGACATGATGATGCCGGAGAGAAGGGAGGAGGAGTAGAAGATGACGCCATTGACGCCCAGGAAGAAGCACTGCCAGAGAAGGCAGTTTCCGACAGCCACCAGATAGTATTTTGTCTCCCCCATTTCGAATTCCTTTGCCTCCTTCCCTATCGCCTGCACACATACATACATACATATATTTATTTATATACGTATATATGTATATGTGTGTATTTATACGTATATATATGTATAATACTCTCAATATATATATATATGTATTTACAAATTTTACAAATTTATGTATGTATGCATCGAGGAGAGAAATTACATATTTACAAGTTGTATATATATATATATATATTTATGTAATGTTTGAAAAAAAAAAACATGTATGTTGGAAATAGTATTTTTAAGGTATATTTTATTTAATTTTACTAATGATAATTTATAATAAAGGTCGAAATACAAATAAACAAAAGCCTAGATTTCTTATAATCTTATAAGGTTATATGTATTTAATTCATATTTCTTGTCCTATAATATGTCACATGAGATTTCAGGATAACATAATAATAATAATAAAAAATAAATAAATAATGAAATACGATGATTAAAAATGCAGCCATATTATATTACTAATTAGTCTTAATGTAGCACCACAAGTTAGGGTTTGAGATTATTATAAATTGAGCTACTCATTTTTTATTTTTTTTTATTTCTTTTTTTTTTTATAGTGTAAAAAAAAGTTCCAATTTTTTACCATGCAATAATTGCAATTTAGTTTTATAATATAATACTAATATATATATATATATATATTTTTTTTTTATTTTGTGCATGTGAGTTCTATATGAATACCAATTAAATTTTGCAACAAATCAAATTATTTTAGTTCAATCAATTACTAATTTTTGGTGAATATATTTATGTTTGGCTATTGATTTTGTCATATGAATTTTGTAAATATATAAAGTGCAAACTATATATTTTAATTAATCTATAAAATCCCATAACCAAATTTATATCTATACACACACAATAAAGATCAAATAACGCAATTTTCACTTTATACATACGTACATATATAATAAAAAAAAAATAAATTGTGATTTTAATATTTATATATATGTCATATTATTGTAAATTTTATCATAATTAAGCAATGATTAATATTGCAATTTGATTACATAAGCTATAATAGTTCACTAATTTATCTTAATTGCACAACACGTAACGTTTACGTAAGTCATTTGAATCTAAATTGTGAATGATGAAGTTTATAATGCAAACACATATAAAAATAAATAAATAATTAGGAACCTTTTTTGTAATCTTAATTAATTAATATAATTAATGCACCCAACATTAAGGAATGGTGAAAAAAGCATTAGCATTTTAATAACTAATCTTGATTCATTATCTAATTAGGCATGACATCAACCACTAAATAGTTAGGGTTAAATGTATTTTTAAAAAATTGGATAAAAATAAAATTTTTCCTTTTTTAGTAAAATAAAAAAAAAATAATAGTTTTTTACTTTAAAAAAAAAAGCAAAAATATTTTTGAATTACAACTAGAAAAAATAGATATAAATTTGAATAACAAAGAAAATATTCCTATCATTTTAGTCATTTAAATAAAATATAGTACAAAAAATGATCTAATATTTTATGAACTAGTCACGTAATAATTTTAGATAGCAAATTTTGATGTGAATTTAATTTTTTTAAATAATATATAAATGCATTTTTTAATGTATATACAAACTTTATTTAAGAGATTAAAATGTCAATGAATGTCATATATTCAAAAAACATATATATGTATATATATATATATTTATCTCTAATAATGATAATAAGGCAATCATTGATAGTTCTTATATATAGTGGAAAAGAAAGTCACATATAATTTTATGTAATGACCACCAATTGTGTTTGTTTTGTTTTTTAGTGACAAAGGATATGATATTATTATACATAATCGTATATTTTTATTACATCCAAATCCAATCTTTGAGCTAAGTGTGCATTCATGACATGGATTGCACACTTAGTTCATTACCAACCTATACCAATTATAGACAAAAAAAAAAAAAAAAAAAAAAAAAACTATACACACGCACTAAAAATAAATAAATATTAAGTAAAACACAGAGCCTAGCTATACTGTTTTATTTATTTATTTATTTTTTTCGTTTTCCCCCAATTTTCTCGCTAATTAATTTCAAGAATTCTCTATATTCATATATAGAATATCACACACAATAACTATATATTAAACATATAGATTACAAATATAAACACAAACAATACACATGCATCTGTTACATATATTGTACTCCCTCTGTCCATAAATTAATGTCCTACTTTTCTATTTGGGACGTCCAATAACTATTGTCCTATTTCTTTTTTTAAACACAAACTTTACATTTTTACCCTTCATTCATTTATTACTTTTAATCCTACCATACAATTAAGGGCAAATTTGTCAATTCATAACAAAAAGATAATCACCTAAAAACTATGCAAATATATTTTAGGACAATAGAAATTTGACGGATGGAGTATTTGATATGTACATATGTTTTATATAAAGGATGTTGTAACTAAGTTTTTAGTTATATTATTTTTCTCACTAAATATCATATCAAAATACTATTCAAATCAAAACCAAACAAGCCCTACATCTATCTTTTGTTTTAGAATTTGATTTTTTGAGGTTTTGCACACTTTTTACTAACATCAATTATATAATAAAATTTATAGTAATTATTTTATTTATACAATGAAACTCTTACATTTATTATTATTATTATTATTATTATTATTATTATTATTATTATTATTATTATTATATGTATGTATGTATAACTGACTATTAGCTGACTCATTAGCTAAATAAATGACTTTGAGCTGACTATGAATCAACTATAGATTAATTTCAACTCAATAATTGGTTTTGTGTGAAAGTTCAAATATTTATTATATATATAAATATTAATATGTTGGTGTTTATTAAATATTAAGAATTGAGCATCTCCACGTGTGTATATATATATATTTATTTATTTTTTTATACTGATAATTGAGTATTAATTGTGTTTATGTGTTGTAATTGCGTTATGGGAATTTATTTTATTTTATAATTTAATTTTAGATTGTGTTATTTCTAATTAGAACTTTATCTCGAGCTCGTGCATGCATGCCATGCATGCAAGCACGAGTAACAAGCTCTGAGAGCTTGAGCCTGCAAGAAAAATATTCCATCATATTTATAATCAAGAATTTAATTAATTATAAAAGCAATATTGCACATATGTGTATATATATATATATATATGTCTTAAAGAATGCCATTTTCAGCTCAGACAAAAATCATACGATTTAGAAGATATCCACAAAGATCAGAACTAAAATTTAAAATTATTTTCCAAAGCCCAAATTATAATTTATATATATATTATAACAAAAACAATACCTCCATCTCGATTATTATTCTTTTATGTAATTAATGAAAAAAAAAATTATTACAGATATATATCTCCACAAAATTATGATCATTTCAAAATATTTCTATATTAAACTTTAATTATTATCTCATTGCTCTCCAACAAAATATATATATATATATATATAATATAATCACTATTATTCTCATCTAATTTCCCACTACTGCATTATTGTCCTGTAAGTTACTCTATTTTCTTTTTTTGCCCTGAAATTAAGAGATAATATCGCAAAATTTCTGGACAAAAAAATAAAATACAGAAACTTACAAGACAAAAATACAATAGCTATGCCATAAAAACAAATTAATATATTAATTAATTAATCAATTAGTTAATAAATAAATAAAAATTGGGTATTACCTGAAAATCACCATTGACGATCATTCCGAAAGTGCAGAAAAGAGTGGCGAAGAAGCACATGACGAGCTGAATCTCCATCACGAGCGTGTACGTCACGCTCTGCTTCGCCTTTCTGTACATCAGCTCCACCACCGGAAGTATGAATCCGTACAGAACCGCCGCCGCCACCGTCATCAGAAAACCGATAAAATATTCCGTCTTCGACTCGCCGGCCGGCCTGTCGCCGCCGGAGTGGATCCCGAGCACCACCGCCCCCACCATCAGCACCACCACGGAGTTCATCGAGTACGCCGTCAGCTTCTGCTTCACGATCAGAAACGCGAACGCCGCCGTGAACGCCATCTGCGTCGCCAGAATCAGCGACGACGTCGACACGGGGAGCTTCGCGACGCCGTAGGCGTACAGGTAGTCGTCGACGCCGGTCAGAATTCCGACCGCCGTCGCGGCGAGGAACACGCGCGGTTTCATCAGGACGAGTTTGGCCGCGCCGCCGGAGGAATAGCGGCGGCGCGTGTAGTTGACGATGAGCGGGATGAGGATCGCCGGAAAGCCGCCGCTCTCCAGCCAGCTGGAGAACCAGATGCGGCGGCCGCCGCCGACGAAGTAGAGGCGCTTTATCAGCGGGCCGCCGCAGCATCCGACGGTGAGAATGAGGCAGTTGGCGATCAGGAGAAGCCTTCTCGCGGCGGCGCCGGTGGCCGGAGATTCCTCCATTGTTGTTTTAAAAATTAAACGTTAAAAATTTAAAATTAGAAATTAATTAATATACATTTCCCTTGCGACCGAGGGGGATTATATAGGCGAATACTGAGCACGTGGCAAGCACGTGCCGGGTTCATAAATGCCAACCTCTGCTTACGTGGCGCTCACGCGTGCTGTGGAAAACGGCTGATTTGGCCCACACCGGTGCATGGTACTGTCGACGTGGCGTTGTTTGGGCCAATCACAAGGCTGAGAAGTGGAAGCTACCAATATACAGGAAACCTAGATTAGTTTTTGCTCTATTATTTTATTTTAGGATAATATATGATAATTAGTATTAGTGGCTGAATGGCCATTGCCACAATATTAAAAATGTTATATGTGCTTATGTGTCGGCGTATTTTTGTTGTTTTACTTTTGTTTTTATTGTGTATTTGTATTATGTTTAATTATTATAATTTTTAATAAAAATATATTATTTTTTATATAAAAATATTATTTAAATTAAATTTCAAACTCAATTTAAAATCAAACAAATCTTTATAAGAAAACTAACCATAAAAATAAGAGTTGGTTAAGTTCATATGCTAAAAAGAATAATTATAACTATAAAAAGGTACGCTCGTTCATTTGTGTTTTTGAATATTTTCTTTGCATAGATAAAATTAAAAGCAAAAAAATTAATACATATGTGCATTAATGGGGAGGGTTACGGCGTAGAAAAGAAACACAAGTTTTTATTATACACAATATGTATTGTTTGTACATAATTATTACGTATCTTGTAAAAGAGTATGTCATGTGCGAAAAGTAATTATTATATGTATTGTATGAAAATATATCATATATTGCATTTATATTTTATAAACGTATAATGTTTATTGTATGTAATAATTAAGTGTATTGTCCATTAACAGTACTATTCAGCACAATACTTGCTTTAGCATCGTCGAGCATTATATATATATTATAAACTTGGTTTCTAATTTAGGCAATAATGATCGCACTAAGTTCAGTTGATTAGTGAAATTGACACGTGGCAATCCATGCAAATATGTTGATCTACCAAAACTAATACTCGCTTCGTCTCAAATACTGTGTCTGCTACACTGTAGACACGGTATTTTAGGAGATGTGTAATTAGTAGATAATTAAGAATGTATTAGCGAATATAATTATCCTATAATATAAATAATTATAAATTAAGATTAAGATAACTAATTAGTTTAATTAAAATTTTTAGAAAAAATAAAATTAAAAAATTTAAAATGAAATTAAAGTGTGTAATCATTTTCCAAAAAAGAAAAGTGACATGATACGTGAGACAGATAGAAACAGCAACGTGGACATAGTATCTGGGACGGACGGTGTATTTTACTATTAGCTGGACTAACTATGCCACAATCAGAGGCTAACTATATGGGCAAAGGGCTTTCAGCCCCCTCTCCGACTCTACCTCTTAATTATTTATTATAATTTATATCAATTTTAAATTATATTTAATAAAAAATATTAAAATTTGGGTATATAAATTTTTTTTATCAAAATTTTTTATCTACTTTTTTATTGTAGGATATATCGAAATTTTAGTATATAAAAAATATTTGTTATAATCTAATATTATTATATTGAATTTTTTAGTATGGTAGCAATATATAATATAATATTTTCAATATATAATAAAATAATATAGGTATTTTAGTATTTGGTATATTTGTGTATATAAATAATTCAATATATTAATACTAAAATTATTATTTTAAATTTTAGTATTTGGATATGAAATAGTATATATAGCTAATATATCAAAATTTTAATACGGTATCAATATATATTTATCATACATGTGGAATCTCTCATGAATTGGTATCTCCGGATATAAATTGGTTAATAATTGAACCGAGTTAACAAATACTTTGTCTCATTTGTTATTTTCAGTTCTGCATTATATTTTGATATCAATGCGTTGTTTTAACTGTGAATTGTCCTAGTTTTGAAAATTAACCCTTTGAATTATTCGAGAGTCTTTTGTTCAACAAATAACTTTTCAACAAAAACTTTACATCTAAGATTTATTTTCTAATAAAATTTATTGAATTCAATACACCCCAAAACATGCAAAATACAGCTAGTGCCAAAAAATACACCCAAAGGGCATCAGATCGGCTGGCCCCATTTTCCCTCACTCCCACCCAGCCCCTCTCCCAAAATAATGTATGTATTATGTATATATATACACCTGTATTACACGGGGCGGGGAAAAATGAGGCTGACGATCCGATGCCCACCCAAAGGTATATATTATGCTTAGCCAACAAAGAAACTACCACAAGATAACCAAAAAAAAAATAGTCGAGCTAACCAAATTACACCATCTAAATATTGTAAAATAAAAAAATAAGTAAAAATCCCAAATACCTCTCGGAAATCAGATCAAGAATTAATTATTGAAGAGGGAGAAATCAACATGCACTTAATTTTTCTTTTTTGAATTTGGATCGATAAACAATCCAATGACAAAAGTAAAAACTCGACTCAATAAAAGCCCCAAATTAAAAAGAAGCTGTGACAATTATTACAGCCTATGTGTATATATATATATTAAATTGCAACTAATTATTATTAGTTCAGTCATATATCTCCTACCACACACACATACATAGAGAGCCTATATAGTCTTAAAACGTGGTGCTGAGGTCCCGGGACCTTTCAAGGGACACGAGCATCATGAGGCAGCTGAGGTTGTTCTTCATCTGCAACTGTCTGATCGTTGTTAGAATCTGTTGTTGTGTTATTGTTGTTTCTGGTCTTCTTCTTGGTCTGCTTGATCTCACCATAGAAATAGGAAATGAATCCCCAGAGAGAGAGGAAGAGAGAGATGCCTTTCTCAGGCTGGAATTTTTCATGGTAGAAGATGACAGCAAGGATTTCAACTGCAGGGAGCAGGACAGTGATGATAATGGCAGACAGAAGAGATGATGCGTAGAAGATGACTCCAATGGCTCCCAGGAAGAAACACTGCCAGATTATCGAACTCCATCCAATTACCATGTAGTATTTCCATTTCCCTAATTCGAATTCCCTTGCTTCTCTTGGAATTGCCTGCAATCACAATCACATTTCGATTAATTATTGTTCTCTAGAATTAGAATCAATCTATTTATTTTCTCATTTTGATTTGTCGTTTTAAATCGATCTATCCATCTAATTTCGTTTTTAGTATAATTGTATTTTAAGTTAACTTTATAAAACTTTGGGTTGTATTCTTTTGTGATTTTTACTGCATATTTTTACTATTCACTATTTAAATTCTTTTTTCTCTACAAAGATATCAATATTTCTTATATAATATGTTTGTTCGGAGGTTTAGATTTTGAGTTGAAATTTGAATAGTAAAAATTTTGAATTTAAATAGTTGTATGATGTTATATAAATAAGTGTTGATATGATGTTTTGAATGTAAAATTGATTTTTAGTATAATATAAAAAATAAAAAATAGGTGTTTGATTTGATATTTTGGGGGGTGGAAAAAAATATGATGAATAGTAGAAATCCAAACAAATCTCTCAAATAAACACACCCTTAATGTTTTACATATGATATGATGACAATATCATCAACTTACATATAAAATATTATTAGAAGTTTAAGGATAGGCACAATTGTCTATATATACAACTATTGCACTAAGTACATATAATACATATCCGATTTTTTTTAAAAAAAAAACATATAATATATATATTAATATTTTAATATTTATGTAGCAAATTTGGGTATATTTTTTTTTTATAAGTTTGGAAAAATTTTAATTTGAGTTTGATATTAAAATAATGTATGATGAAATATTTTGTGAAAGAAAAAAAATATATTTTTTTTCGAAAAACACAAACTCCAAATAGTAGAAATGTGAGGTTTGGTGACTAAAGAAACAAACCCAAAGTAAGCTGATAGATACTTATATGAGAGTTTAATTTGAATTAATTAATTAATTAATTGAATCCATGATATGATAATGTAGTTTTAAAATGGCGTAAAAAAATCTCTCAGAATTTGTTGTTAGTTAATTAAATCGGAATGTGTGTTTGGTTTGAATTTTAAACTCAAATCTCCACTATTCGGATAGCGCATATATTTTCAATAAGAATATAATCTTTATATCCTAAACATAGTGCAATTTCAGGAATTTAAGTGAGTAATAATAAATAGGATAATTTAAAAATTAAATAATTATTTTTAGTAAAATATTTAAGGAGTATACCTCTACGTTTTAAATATTATAATAGGTGAAAATTAAGGGAGTATACATTTATGTTTTAAATATATATTTTTAATTTTATTTTAAAATAATTATTTTTTATTTTAAAATAGTAAAATAACACTAATAATATACATTATTTTTAAATGACGGATAAGTATATAAAGTAAAGAAGCCTAAAAGTGTTCTAGAAGGTAATAAAATAATAAAGTTTATTTAATTTAATGGATTGGGTTACATCAATCTATTAGGACAAAATGTGTAGATACTACAAAGATACAATCAACATTTACACTAACGTATACTCCTTCCGTACACAAAAAAACACCTATTTGTCTTTTTAATAAATTAAAAAATAATTATATTTTATTAATTCATTAGAATATATAAAATATTTTTGTTCTTAAGGGAAAAATAGAATATTTTTATTTAAATTATAAATATTTTGATATTCATATATAAAGTACTTTACTATAATATAAAAAATTATTTTTGAATAGAAAAAATAAAAGTAATAAAAAATATATATATATATATTGAATTAGAACGAAAAAATAAAAACAAAAAATAAAAAAGTTTAAGATATGTTGAACAAATACTCAGCACCATGCTAAAATTTTCTAGTTTAGAGGATTGGATTTTAAATTCATTATTTATTTTATTTTTTTTTTCTAAAAATATCAAATCAAACACTTATTTTTTACTTTTTATATTATACTAAAAATCAATTTTATATTTAAAACATCACATCAACACGCATTTATATCACATCATACAACTATTTAAATTCAAAATTTTTATTATTCAAATTTCAATTCAAAATCCAAACCCCCAAACAATCGGACGCTAAATATTATTTGTCGATATATGCTCACGAAAAATATGACACTTTAGGGCACTATAAATTGTTAATATATATATATATATATTTGATACTTTATAGCTATATTGTTGATATATATATATATTATATAGTCACTATTGTATTAATTAGTCAGCATAGTAACAGCAGAAAAATTTAATAATAATAAATAATGTAGTTGTTGATTATTTCGGCCATCAAATGTAGACCATGGTCCGAACGTATTTAATTTTTCAATGCCACTATATATTTATTATTCGTCATTAAGGCTTTGTTTTTTTGTGTTTTCTAACGTTGTAGGATCCATATAGATAAAATAAAATAAAAATAATTAAATTATGCAAAAAAAAAAATTAAAATAGTTAAATTGAAAAATTAATGTAATATTTAAAAAGAAATACTGTAATATGTTTCATATATATTCTGTTAAAAACATTATTGTTAAATATAGATAATACTATAATATATTTCACATCAAAAGTTTATATATAGATATGTTCAACTATATTTGAGAAGCATCTTGGAGTTTTATATTATTTTCATTCTACATAGATTTTAAAAAATATTACTATCTCCGTCCGACTTTAAGCGTCTCATTTATTTTTTGCGTATTGATTTTTGAATATTAATTATTATATTAAAACGTAGTACAAATTAAAAAAAAATTGCAAAATACTTTTTATTAGTGTCTTATAATACTAATAGAATGACATTTGTATAAAAAATTATACAAATATAAAGATATTTTTAATGTTAAATATAATAACGTAAAAAGAAAATGTGATTCTTAGAGGCGGACGGGAGAAAGTATGTATTATTAAAATATATAATACTGTAGTAAACAAATTTTTCATCTCACTCTAAAATATATTTTATATAATTTTTGTAACAAATTAAAAAATAATACTATTTATTTCTTACATAAAATATCTATTTTTTTATTTCAATTTGTCTCACATTAAATTCTTAACGTTTTTTAAAATATAATTATACATTTAATTACATTTTAAATTTATAATTAATAATTTTTTAAATCTTAAATTAGATAATTATTTTAATCTTAATTAATTATTTTATTATATAATAATTATTTATATTAATATATTTTTTAATTAATTACTAAGTATATTTTACTGAAATTTTCATATTCATAATAATGTAAACAATTCATCTAGCACAAAAAAAAATAGTATTTATTGGTAAATAAAAATGTGTAAAAATTTTTGATATTTTTATCATTTAATTTTATATATAAATTAATAGTAAGTAAAATTATATATTTATAATTTACATAAAAGATTTAAATATTTTAATATTAATATATAATTCTTTTTATTAAAAAATATATATATTTTATACTGAGAGAGACGGCTATATATTAATACTACTACATTTAGTAAGTCTGAAAGTTGAAGGAATCATGCCCCCAGTTACCAGCGTTAAAAAGTAAAAGCTAAGGGCGTGTTTGTTTCGTTTTGGTTTAAAGAATATTTTTTAATACGAAAGTATCAAAAATGTAATACTCCGTCTCCGGTGCAAAGTTATCATTTATTTTTGCACGTTAATTTTTTATATTAATATTATAATAGATTATAATGAAAAAAACGAAAATACCCCTATTACTATTGTGTAATATAAAAGTAATGACATTTGTGTAATATAGTATAAGTTAAAAGGGTATTTATTATATTAGGTAAATAATACAATTACTAGATTAGAAAATGGTAACTTATTTTGAGATGGACGAAAATAGAAAATAATAATCTTTCAATGTACATAATATTAAAATAATAAATATATATATATAATATATTAATATTTTTAAAAGAATATGTTGAAAAATTTTAGGTATATATATTTACTACAGTATATTAAGAATATATGTATATATATATATATTTTTAGTACAGTATATACCAGTTTAAAAAAGAAATATCCTGCTTAATTTATTTTTTATTTTCTCAATGAAAACAAAATCTTTTATTTATTTTAGATACACCAGTATCTTATTTAATATATGATCATGGAGTTATTTTCAACTAATATATTTATAAAATTGAATTTCATTTAAAATGTATAATTAAATTCTCCCTGAGTTAATTTATTTTGTTATTTTATTTTGTCCAAAATTAATATATCTTCTTTTTTTAGTTATAATTTTCACTTAAATAAAAAAATACCCTTAATATTTGATATAATGTTACAAGAATATCCTAAAAAATAGTAGTAATAAAAAAAAAACAAATATGGTAGTAGGAGTAAAAAAAAAAAAGACTTTTTTATTTTTCTATTATGGATATGTGTTTATTTATAAAATTTTGCATTTAGTTTTATTATTTTAATTTTTTAAAAAAAGTTAAATAAAATATTTTTTTATATTACATCGTATAATTATTTTATTTCTAAATTTTTTTTTATTTTTAATCAAAATTACATAATTTTTCAGGATAAAGTAGTATTAAATAATTATTGATATTGTACTATTTCTAAATATCTTAAATTGTTATGATATGACAGGAAATTATGATTATGTTTACTCACTCATTCTTCACTTTTTATTTAATCAATAAATTAAATATAATATTCTATTAAAAAAAACTGAAGAAATTAAATTTAGAAGTGACCTGGAAATCTTTGTTGACGAGCATTCCGACGGTACAAAAAAGCGTAGCAAAAAAGCACATGACGATCTGAATCTCCAGCACCACCGTGTAGCTCGCCGCCTCCGCCTTCTTATAAATCAGCTCCACCGCCGGAAGCACCAGTCCGTACAGTGCCGCCGCCGCCAGCGTCAGAAAAAATCCTAAAAAATACTCCCGGTTCGACTCGCCGTTCGGCCGGTCGCCGTTCGCGTGGAGGCCCAGCACGACGGCGCCGACCGTCAGCAAAACGATGGCGTTGATCGACGCCGCCGTGAACCGCTGCTTCACCATCAGAAACGCGAACGCCGCCGTGAACGCCAGCTGCGTCGCGATGATCAGCGCCGACGTCGACACCGGCAGCTTCGCGACGCCGTAGGCGTAGAGGTAGTTGTCGACTCCGGTGAGGGTTCCGACGACCGCCGCGGCGAGGATCACGCGCGTGGATATAGGTCTCCGCCGGCGGCGCGTGTAGCTGACGAGGAGAGGGATTAGCATCACCGGCCATCCGGCAGTCTCGAGCCAGCTGGAAAACCAGATCCGGCGGCCGCCGCGGAGGAAGTAGAGGCGCATGATCAGAGGTCCGCCGCAGTTCCCGACGGCGAGGATTATGCAGTTTATGACCAGCAACACCCTTTTTGCGGCGGCGCCGGTCGCCGGAGTTTCTTCCATTATTGTATTTGCCTGTGGATTGTCTATTTCTCGACACACACCGCAATTAATGACTATTCACGACCACATGATTAACAGATCATCGTAGATATCATATATATATATATATATATAAATAAAAAATAAAAAATATAAATTATATTATATTATATTATTAATGTAAGAAATTAGGGCAATCATTGGAATTCTGGACCAGGCGACTAAAGATTGCCATTGTCGATATGCTTATGTTGTTTTGTGAGAAACATGTTATACTTACGTTGGAAAATAATAATAATATAATATTCACTTCTATTTTTTTATTATTTATTATTTTTAAATGTTCCGGCATTTTTGGTGATTTTTTTCTCTATTTACAATTTATTTTCTTACTTATGTAAGGAATCGAATGGTAATTAAAAAAAAAAAGAAATAAGGAAGAAATACCAATTATAATATTAATCATAATTAGAATTTTGTTATTAAGAAATTATTAATTAAAGTAACAATATTAATTAGGAAATTACATATATATCTATATCTAATAAAACTTATCCATTCAATATAATTAAATTGAATTTTTTTTTTCGGATTTCTATATCTAATTCATGATTTTACAGGTTTTGGGGAAAGTCCTGCAATTTGATTTTGTGCATTATTATTAAAGGATATAATATCGATATTTAAATTTTATCATTCAACTTATTTATTTTCTCGTCTTTGAAATTTTATTTTGAGAAAAGATCATATATTTGATTTTTATTTAACATTTAATATTCTGAATTCTCTCATTCCGAGAATTCCGAAACATATATATTAAAATTATAAGATCTAAAAATAAAATAAAATAGATGATTTGGTTGCAAATAATGTACATATTTTTGTTTTTTCAAAAAATATATATTATATAATAGTATTATTTCTTTGAATGTGAACTGTATCTATACATAGTCAGTAACGACCCACTAAGGAGCAATGGTGGGTTGCAGTCCACTCTTGCTCCGCCCCCACGCCACCCCACCCCTACTCCTACCAATACTTTTATTTGATTGAGTGTTTTTATTTATTTAAATATATATGTATATAATATATAAAAAATGAAATAAAAAAAGAAATATGTAATTCAATAGTTTAATTTTTTTTAATAAGAAATTATACTATCTTTTTTATTCCAAAAAGTACATATATTAATATTCACAACATATAGGAACATATATAGTTATTGATGTTGTTTTATTATTTTGTAATAAATAGAAATAAAATATATTATTTATTAAAAAAATATTTTGTAAATAAAAAAAAAATAAAAAATTGCCCCTCTCAAATTTTATCCTTGTTCCGCCACTATGTATAATTTGAACACAATGTTTTAAAAGAATATATATATATATATATACAAAATATATTGTTCTAAAATAATTATAATTTTTTCCAATAAATTTTTTTTTGTCTTCATTGGCCGAAAACTACATAGGCAGTGTATGGTTGCGAGTTCTTCTCAAAGTGGACATATTCTTTCAACTTGTTTTCATTTCAATTATTTTTTGAATTAGACTTATTTATTATCTTATATTTCTATGTATCCTAAATAAAAGAAAATATATATTTAAATTTTTATATTATAAACTAATTTATACTCCCTCCGTCCATTTACAAAGTTTACATTTACTTTTGGCGTGGTGTTTAAGAAATAATAGTATTTTAATTATAGTGAGTAGTTAAAAGTTGTGTAATGATATTTTTGCCCTTACTTTTTTGTGTAAAAGTAATGATGTGATGTAAAGTAAGGGTATTTGTGGAAAAAAATAAGGTATTTAATGAAATGTTAACTTTGTAATTGGACGTCCCAAAATAGAAATATGTAAACATTGTAAGTGGACAGATGGAGTATTAATTGTGGATAAATATATTTTATAGAAATATTCTTTAGATATTGAAAATATAAATTAACCTTTTTTAATAAAACATATTCTCTTGTCCGGAAAAAATTATACTCCCTCCGTCCCATTCAAAGGTTACTATTTTCCATTTTCGTCCGTCCCAAAACAAGGTTATCATTTTCTAATTTAGTAATTGTACTACTTACCTAACATAATAAATACCCTTTCAACTTACACTATATTACACAAAACTCATTACTTTTATATTACACAATACTAATAGGGGTATTTTCGTTTTTTTCACTACAACTTATTATAATACTAATATTAAAAAATTTACGTGTAAAACGTAAACGGCAATCTTGCACCTGTTCTGAGATAGCGTTACATTCGTTGTAAATAAAAGATGGAGTATATTAAATAATAATTTAATCTACAACTAAAAGTCTTAAATTTTAACAATAAAATCGAATTTTTAACTCCACCAACTACCAAACAGCCCTTTGAAATTTTCATCATTTGTATGAATATGCAATTTGTCTTTTTGACATTTCGTCACATTAGGTTGTGTTTAAATAAAAAATTTAAAAGTTGGATATTTGATATGGGTAATTATAAGAAAAATAAATATTTAATATAATATTTTATTATTATTTTGTTAATAAATAGTATTTAATTTGAAATATTTTACAATTAATTGAACAGATTCTGGATAGGATGTAATCTTTTGTTAGTTTGGTTAATTGATTCCAACTTTATGAAAGTGGTTTTTAGTTGTGAATAATAAAATATTGTTTTTATTTAGTGTGATGTTTGGATGTATGTCACTTTGCCATTAGGCACTATAATGTAATAATAATAAAAATAAAATAAAATAAATCACTTTCACTCGTTTTAATGGTCAACTTTTTTTTTTTTTTTTTTCTTCTTTGACTGCCAAACAGTTATTTAACGTGTGTTTGTTTGCTTGCATTCTTATTCGTTTAATAATTCATTTATTACTGGATATCTATCACATTGGTTAGCGTAACTAGCTCACATATATATATACATAGACGTACTAGGAGGGAGTCGGGCCATCCACGCTCAGACAATAAACTAATTATTTTGTTGATTTTTTTTTTTTCATAAAATATTTAAAATATATTTAAAAACTATGTATTATTGTAATATATGGATGCATGTTAACTACGTATTTATTTATAACTAGAGAATCAATTGGCTAGCTTACCACCATTCATTTAAGGCGGTTTAAGTCCTATAAATAGGCGAGCAAATGAAATAAAACCATATACTTTCTTTCAGCAATTCTCTTATTATCTGCGAACAAATATACATACGTAACTGCATACATACATATAATATATTAGAAGCAATCATTACATACTGCAAACATATATCTATATTTAATATATACATATATTATATTTATATACCAAATATATATATATATACTTATCAAATATTATAATATTATTATATAACATGTATATAATTATCAAATTATTTAAAATAATTATTTTATTTAAAATAATAAATATATAGAATTTAAATATAAATATAATCTAAATAAATTAGGATCCAGTTGGATTGACTTAAAAAATTGTTTTTGACTTCTGCTTTTACAAAAAAAAATATTTATTTATATTTCTATTGGTTTCTTCTCAAAAGCAAAATCAACTTTTAGGCTTCAAAAATATTTTTTGAGAAGCATCTCAGGAGTTCTTCTGAAAAAAAGTAGAAGTTGTTTTACTATTTAAATTAGAATTTTAACCATAATAATAATAATAATAATAAAATAAAAATAATTCATTTATATAAAACTTAAATATAATTGTATTTTTTATTTTAATTAAATTTAAAATATATAATTGAAAATATCAAAATTTAAAAATATAGATTTATAAATTATAATTATATAGTAGATAATTAATATTTTTAAATATAATTTTTGAAGTTAAAATAATTTATAAAATAGTATTATTTAAATTTAATTTTATTTTTATTTTTTATTTTTTAAAAATAAAAATTACAAATATAATTAATACATAAAATTTAAAAAATATATTTTCAATTAGTTTAAATAATTTTAAATTTTTAGATAAAATTTTGAAAATTCTAAATAAATTAGAAAATTTTAATAAAAAATATATTATCTACGTTACGATGTCCTATTTTGGTCATTTTAACAGTTTAAAAGCATTTTTAACTTTATTATATCAAAACAATTTTTTTATAAAAAAAAAACAGTTTTTATAATTATTCATTCAAACATAAAATCTTATTTATGGATTTTGTTTATTTTTTAAGTTAATCCAAACAAGACCTTAATACATTAAAAAATATATATAATTGAAAAATGAGTTAGTTTATGTTGAACAATTCACAGAGTCTGTAATATTCTTTTTAAAATATATTATCAATATTACTTCTCAAGTCAATATTTGTTATATTATGGACTTATTATTGTAGATACGAGAATTTAGGTAAAGTGTGATTAGTAAGTAATTAAGAGGTGTATTAGTAAAAATAATTATCGTATAATAAAAATAATTATGGATTAAGATTAAGATAACTAAATAGTTTAATTAAGATTAAAAAAATTATAAAATTTAAAATTTAAAATGAGATTAAAGTGTATAATTATATTTCCAAAAAAGGAATGGACAAATTATGTGAGACGGACGAAAATGAAAAATATAGACAAATTATGTGGGACGGAGGGATTATTTGTTTACGCACAACTCACTTCTTCTTTTAATCGAGTAATGTATTTCGATTTATATTCAAAACATCTAACGTTTTGCTCTGTTCAGCTTAAAACAATAATCCTATTTTTCATTTTCGTAGTTTTTAAAACAATCATCGTATTTTCATAAATAAATATATTACAATAAAAATTTTATTATCTTTTCATTATTATTACATAAATTTCATTGTCTTTTACACAACTATACTGACAATGGCTAAAAAAATTCTTTACTCGTACTTAAGCACAAGTAGTTAATATGTTCAAATAGTCAAATCGGCTAGTAAAATTAACTATCAACTAACAGTTTTGTCCGGATCACACGTAGCAATGTTTTTTTATTTAATTTTAAACAAAATATTTCATTTTGCATTTTAGTCCATCATCCTTCTTCCTCTACGCGTTTCCACGATTACAATGTTGGTTCTGCTTCACATTATTAAGATTACTTCTCATTCAACATTTATCATCAATTTCGT